CCGCAACTTAGAATTATTACAGAGCAATATATCCTAAACTGAACTGATTGCGCCATACAGAATTGTGCCGTAAATAACATTGTTATTCACGGTATATACGCATAATTCGCGAATATCTCACTTTTGCACCTGTGGCCTATTGTGTGTCCACTTGATTATGTGGGGAGAATACCCGACCAAACATCTTACCAGCCCGCAGGAGACCCTTCCTCCAATTGCAGTGTATACGGAGGGTCAGTCGTTTTTTTCACCAAGGTTCTGTTGGACATTCTCAGTGATTTTCCTTGTTCACATGTCCGACATAAAAAGAATATATTTCTCAATTCTCGTCGGGATAAATGTAGCGCATCTCTGATAACCTTTCCCGCTGGGATGCTCATTAACCCGTCTTTTCCACATCGTCTAGTCTCAAGTGCCACTCCTTCAACGTCTTTTGAACGTCTAATAGAGTATAAACTGATGGTATTTTACTATTCTAGTATTACTACTGAATTGTTAGCTTGGTAAATAATACGTCTCACCGATTGTTCCTGCTGGAAATAGCTGTAGCTGACACCCAACACGCATCGACCGCGCCATCCGAGCCCACCATCTAGGAGATGCAGTCAGTGTCTGCGATGCCCACGTGAAGACGTCGACAGCTGCAGATGTGAAGACGCCATCCTTTGCGCACAAGTTCCCGAGATGTTACCGACGTCCGACGCGCGAGCGCCGCAGCTGCGACGTCTACGGATGCCGCGAAGCCGCTCTCAGAGGTCACAGCCATGGCGATACCACCGATGGAAGCGATGCACGTGCTGCGTAGAAGACGTCGTTACATTTAATAGCGTCGCAATATGCGACCCAAGCCCAGACGCTGCTGCTGACGCCTGAGATGCACCGACGTCGCCCTCCGATACCTCCATCTAGGAGATGCAGTCAGTGTCTGCGATGCCCACGTGAAGACGCCGACAGCCGGAGATGCGGAGACACCACCGTCGGCGCACAAGTTCCCGAGATGCTACCGACGTCCGACGCGCCAGTGCCGCAGCTGCGACGTCTCCAGATGCCGCGAAGCCGCTCTCCGAGGTCACGGCCGTGGCGATGCCACCGATGGAAGCGATTTCGCCTCTATATGAATATACCCTTGTGTAGTTAAATAATATGCACTTAGCAAATTACTGCCGTAATCCTTATCGAAGGCAACATTTCGTAGTGAGATATCGCTATAGTGACATCTAGGTCCGAGAATATCTCATTCCATTATTCCTTGTAGATAAATAGAGGATGTGCCTTTGTTACCGCACTCAAATAGATGAGTTTGACCTACACTGAGGTGACTTACTCATATTCGATCTGAGCTTATCCCACGGTCAGCCCCTATATTAACTGCCCATAGATTGTCAATCAGATTCAATTACTTCAACGAATGCAAATATTCTGGAAACCTTCTTCGTACCTCATCATCAATGTCCATCGTGTTCATTGGTGCCTCATTTTGCATCCTCCACTCGGTTAGAACCCCTTGAACGCAAATTAGTCCGCTGCCTTGAGTTCGGCTTCCATCGGGTTGCCTGCGGTCTATTTCTCGCCGTGAGGCAATTCTTCACCCGTCTTCTTATCTATATTCGATTTACTCCCTTTATTGACCGCCATCACCCGTGTTTTCTTCGCTCCAGGAGCAATTCGAACAGAACTGCTTACCACCGTGCCATTTTGGGTCGCGACCCGCAGCCATCGTTAGACAGTTTCTTTCAATGGCCGTTGTGAGAGCAGTAAAAACTGTCAAGGTGTGTAATGGGCCACCCCAGTTACATAAGTAGGTAGATTCAATTACATAAGTAGGTACATTAGCACACAAGTAGCGTGTGCTGTGTTGTCACTCTCTGATTGGCTGAAAAGAAGGATATCAGCTAATCAGGAGTCGACTTGCATTTGGATGGTTCTCAAGGGGTCAGGGCTCCCGCCCTGGACCTAAATAAATAATGTGTTTTCAATTATCTACGGGTTTAATATTTTCTTTACTATTGCGAGCTTCCTCATCGCTACGTGTAAGCTAGTAAGTTTGAATACCTGGCCCGTTACACCTGGTAGCACTTTGTAGGCCTTCCAACGTCCAAGATGAACATGAATGAAGACCCTACCGGATCCACCGGGATGACCCTGGGTCACAAAGCCTTCCCTCATCTCACTCGCGTTGAGTGGGAAGCTCTTCACCGCCTAGCGGCGGTGTCACGAGAGGCTATCGTGACCTCGCTGCTGAGCACAGCGTCGCCGGACCAGAATCGCCAAGCTGCTCAAGAATTCATGGAACGTGAGCTCGCTGACGCCAAGTAGCGTGTACAAACTCCCTCCCGCTCCAAGAATGACGCCGTGAAGATGGATAAATCTACCTATTCCGGGGTTGGCTCTGACAGGCTTCCCCTGAACCACTGGTTCCGAGAGATCGATATTGCCATCGCCTCGATGTTAATCGAGGCGCCCTCCGCGAAGGTGAGCTTCCTGCTGTCCCGGTTGTCTGGGAAGGCCAAGGAATGGGCCCTCGGCAAACCGGTCGTTGACCCCCTCACCTTCCTCACTCTGGATGCTAACCAGAGCGATCTGCGCCTCGCGTTCGAGCCGCCGCAAGACGAGTCCCGCGTGCGAGCACAATTCTTTGCCCTCAAGCAAGGCAAGATGTCGGTGCGCGATTACGTGCAGAAGACACGTCATCTTGTGTCGTGTATCGTCACGAAGCCGATTGACATGGCGTCGCAAGTCCACGTCTTCGTATTCGGCATGCGAGAGGGAATGACGAGACATAGTTTCACCTGGGCTGAACCGGATTCGCTCGAGAAAGCGTTCGCTCTCGCGCTTCGCGAGGACTACGTGATGACGTCGTCATACGCCCGGGGAATGTCGGTCGCTGACAGAGCGAATGTACCCGAACCCATGGAAATTTACGCGATCGAGGCGTCGAATAGTCGTAATGGGTTCAGCCCCTCCGCGAAACGCGGAGGTAGGTCATCCCGCCCATTGGCATGCTTCCGCTATCGGAAACTGGGTCATCGCGCGGCCGTGTGCCGCGCGCCAGCTCCTGTTGTTGCGAACGTCGAAGCGGTCGACGAACCAACCCAGGCCGATCACTCAAAAAACCGGCCTGGGCCAGTAGGTACGGGGCGCCATACTGGCTGGAACGGAAGTCCGGGTCTTCCGGTGGCAACCCGGGTTTCTAGCTCCCACGAGCTACACGCCCACTCTAATGCCACCACTGCCAACGGCAACACGAGACTGATTATCCTGAGTCTCCACGTCGCCGGCGCCCGGCGTCCACTACGCCCATTCCTGGACTCAGGAGCATCGAACAATTTCTTCCGCGCGTCGTGTCTGTCGACACTCCCGGACAGTGTACACGTCCGGAGTGGACCGGGCGAGGTCGTCGTCAAACTCGCGGGCGGTAAATCACACCATGTCTCGCGACGCGAGCTTTCACTGCCGTATACGTTCGATGGTTTCCGCAGTGTGGACGACTTCCTGGTGATTGAGATGAATTACGCATTTGACTGCATCCTGGGTATTCCATGGTTGGCACGGTACCAACTGGAGGTCGATTGGTTGGCCACCAAGCGACGCCCCTTCGCTCACCCGGCTCCCAGGTTTTTCGTGGAAGAAATTCCTCCGTGAGCTCAAGGCGGGCGAGATCGAACAAGTGTGCATTATCACCGACACTGACTCGGTGGCCCATAGTGTCAACGCTGTGTCCAGCGACGAAGCATCCTCACGCCCGAAGAACGTCGAACCAAAGTCGGCGCGTGAAGAGCGCTTTGCAGCGCAGTCGTGGGAAGCACTGAAGGCGTCGGGTAATCCAGTCTACGATGTCGCCCGCGAGTATGCGGACGTCTTCCCGGAGAAGATTCCCGCCGAATTACCGGCGGACAGAGGCGTTCGCCACGAGATTGATCTTGCGCCGGGAACGAAATACTGTGTGACCAGGCAGTGGTCTTTGCCGCGCGATCAAGTCAAGGCAATCGATGAATTCTTCGAGAGTCAACGTAAGGCAGGCCACGTTCGTGAGAGTATTTCACCACACTCGAGTCCGACGTTCTGCGTGAAGAAGGCTACTGCCGGTTGACGCATTGTTCACGCGTTCAATAAGTTAAACGATGCGACTATCCCAGCTCAGACGCCTATTCCACGTGAGGACATGGTGTTGGACTCGATGGCGGGAAGCGTGATCTACAGCGCCATTGATTTGACCGACGGCTTCTACCAGATCCTGATGAGAGAGAAGGACACGCCTCTCACAGCAGTCAGCACTCCATATGGTATGCTCTGGAGTGGCTTGTTATGCCACAGGGCCTGAAGAACGCTCCTGCAACTTTCAATCGCATGGTCTCCCATGTGCTTCGTCCTCTTCGCGATTTCGCACTGAGTTACGTCGATGATATCTTCGTCACAGTCACGCTGAAGGCAACGTCAGCGCGCTAGAAGTCCATATGCGGCACTTGAAGCAGGTCTTCCAAGTGATGCGGAAGAACAAGCTCTACGCGAATTTGAAGAAGTGTGTCGTCTGTGCTCCGGAGATTCGGTGTTGGGCTGCTATGTGCGCAAGAACAGGGTCCGTGCGGATCCTGAGAAAATTGCGTCGGTCTGTTCTTGGCCAACTCTGGCGAACCCACTGATCTACGACAGTGGCTGGGCATGGCGAACTACCTCCACAAGTACACGAAAGACTACGCCAAGCTCATCCAGCCGTTGTCGTCCTTGTTGAAGAAAGACACGCCGTGGGTATGGGAACCCGAACACCGAGAAGCCTTTGACTCGATGAAGAAGAGCCTGTCGTCCGCACCTGTGTTGATGCTGGCGGACGAATCGAAGCCATTCCACGTCGTGTGTGATGCGAGCGACTTCGCCATCGGGAGCGCCTTGATGCAATTCGATGACGAGGGTCGAGAACGAGTGATCAGCTACCAGGCTACCAGCCCCGCCAGTTGAAACCGGCGCAGAGGAATTATCCCGTACACGACAAGGAGCTCCTCGCCATGCGCTACGCGCTGATTAAGTTCAGGGTCTATCTGCTTGGAGAGCAGACATTCGCCGTTTACACTGATCACGCATCGCTGCGAACCGCGATGAAGTCCCCCCACTTGTCCCAGCGCATGGCTCGCTGGTTATCGTTCTTCTCCGAGTACAACTTCGTGGTGCATTACAAGCCTGGCAAGAACAACATTCTCGCCGACGCGCTGTCTCGGCGTCCAGACTATGACCCGCGCGAAGGTCTTGGGCGTCAGGCCGTTGTCGAAGATGAAGAGGACTCATGCGCGACATGCGTCGCGTCCGGACTGAACCTACGAACGTCACCCCCGAGTTGTCACTGCGAGAAAAGATTGCCGCCGCGTACGAATACGACGAGCAATATGCCGGTATCCTGACGCACCTTCGCTCGCCCAGCGATGCGTCATTGAAAGCTCTATCGCGCTCGACTCGCGGTCATATCGAGCGGTATCACCTTGACGGCTCCTTGCTGACGTATGCCATCGACCGATTCGATGGTCCTCGAGTAGTAGTGCCAAATGACAAAGATCTTCGCGCACGGATCATTCATGAGTATCACGACACGCCAGCTGGTGGGCATTTGGGGCACGAAAAGACTTTCGCCGCGGTGTCGAGAGACTTCTACTGGCCTCACCAGTATAAATGGATGCGCAAGTGGGTGCGCACCTGCAAAATTTGTCAACGGGTGAAGCCCTCCCCGTCGTCGAGGGCTCCCCTGCGTCCACTCCCGTTTCCCACCGACGTCTGGCGTTTGGCGCTCGGTGTCGATGGACTTTGTCTTCGGATTACCACCCGATGAGAAGGGTCGTAATGAAGTGTTGGTCTTCGTCGACAGGGTCAGCAAGATGGTACACTTCGTGCCCGTGTCTGCTGAGGTCACCGCGGAGGAGTCCGCGGTGCATTTTGTCGACGCTGTCTTCCGCCACCACGGTCTTCCCGAGTCAATTATCTCTGATCGCGATCCGCGGTTCACAGCCGCCTTTTGGTCGAAACACTTCGAATTATTGGACATGAAGCTGATGATGTCGACCGTGGGACATCCGGAGACGGAAGGGCAAACTGAACGAGTTAACCGCGTCTTTGAAGACGTACTTCGGAGCTACGCAACCGCGTTCAAGAACGGGAGTTCATTCTTGCCCCTGGCTGAGTTTGCTGTGAATAACGCCGAGCATTCCTCGACGGGCATGACTCCTTTCTTCGCTAGCTTCGCTCGCCATCCCCGCGTTCCAGCGATGCTTGCCGTGGGCCATCCCACGGAGTCCCGTGACTCCACTCTTGGTGGGGGAGAAGCTGTGGCTGCGGACACGACACCGGTCAACACGCCGGTGCCACAACGTGTATCTCCGAGTGAAACCATCGTGAATGCCGTGACGCGAGCTCAGATGAAGCAGTCTCTTACATCACCGCGCGAGCCGGTGTCCTCACTCGCCCAATGGACAGAACGAATCTTGATCGACCCCGCTCGTGTCCCTGAGACTCATCAGCCTGTGGCTCCCCTCGCGAACTACGCGCCGAGACCCCAAGCAGTGTCAGTGGATCACTCGGCCGTCTCCGAGTTCGTCCTGCAACGCCAGTCGATCACTGGATTCGTACGTGATGCACTGCAGTGTGCAGTGGACAAGCAGAAAGAAAACGCAAACATACATGGACGAAAGAATATGGCTTCATTCCACACGGGCGACCGTGTGTTATTGTCGACCGAAGGTATCCGGACTTCTGCTGTGACTAATCTCGGTGCTAACAAACTGGCTCCGCGACTTCATCGGTCCATTTACGGTTATCAGAGCTATCGGCGACGCGTACACCTTGGACATCCCGTCGTTACTGCGCCTGCACTCGACGTTCTACGTCGGGCGGCTCAAGCGCTACTACCCGGCTGAGATTCCAGACGCCAAGAACGTTACTACGGATGGGGGGAATGAGCCGAGCGTCCTTCACGACGAGCTTGACGCGCCATCGAGCCATCGGACCCAGGAGCCCGTTGGTGCGGGCGAGCCGCAGCTTGAGCACTTCACAGTACACGCGTCTCCAAGGCGCGCAGCCTCGCCAACAGCTCACGATTCGACTGTCGAAGTTGTTCCGTCGTCCGTTCAGCGCGCCATGCAACCTCCTCCGCCCGCTCATCCCCAAGCTGAGCGTCCAAGGCTCGGTTCACAGCGACGTCCACGTCATCTTGTGCAGTCGGACCAACGGTACCCACGTGACGGTCCTCCACCGGTGATTGACGCGGCTGGTAATGTCCGTTGGATTGTGGACCGTATTGTGGAGCACCAAGATTCCCACAGTACGCGTAATCGTGTTCGTGGTCGCAATTCCACCGCCCGCACGGTGCCGCAGGCGCGACGATATCGCGTGCGTTGGCTTGGCTTCCCTCCGGAAGATGACACCTGGGAGACGCGCCACGACCTCCTTCGCGATGTCCCAGATGTTGTTCGTGACTATGAGGCAACGCTCGCAGCGGCGAGCGACTCCTCGGGTCGGCCCGATGTAAATGAGAACGGGATCGCGAATGGCGACGAATCGGAGAACGTGAACGAGAACGGAAACCCCTTGCACGTCCCGGAGCTGAAGGATGATGCCCGCGTCTCGCCGATCGATGGTGAGACGCGCCACGATTAGAAGACTGCTCGATGTCGAAGAGTGTACGGTTGTACTTTGCGATCCAGCCGGACTGTGCAACATCGAGTGGACGCTCGGTGACTTCACGCTGCCACTGCTGCTGCGTAGGGCGATCCGATGTCCAGCATGAAGAACATCCCTCCTTCAAGTGCACGAAGCAGAATCGATCATCGAGCCACGCGTCCTGGCAGATGTACCAGCGAAGTTCCGAGAGCGAGGGGTCCCGCAACATCTCTTCTCGATATGTGTGCCACTGTGGCAGACTTTCCCCTTCAAGAGTCATCCGGTTCCACCGTCGGATGAAGACACACCACGATCACTGCAAGGCCTCGTGTCCAGCGTCCTCGATCCTCTTCTTCCGCGTCGCGCGGAAGAAGTCCCGCATGATGTCTGGAGTGTCAGGTTGCACAGCAGTCGACAAGTCGTACAGGGGCTATGGGGCCAATTCGCTGTCCATCGTGGTTGTACGGATCCTGCGTGTGTATGGGACTTCGGGGGCCGTCGTGGCAGGCACCGACGTCTCTGTCGGTGTGTTGGG